TTTTGCCTTTAGAACTGAACTTTGGTCAGCAACAATATTCATGTAGGCTGTGGCCTCTTCCACACCATTACACCACCACCACCAGCCTGAACCATTGATATAAGACAGGATGAATCCATGCTTTCATGTTGTTGACGCCAAATTCTGACCCAACCAGGCACATGCACACATAGGGCTGAACCTGTGCAGTGAACATGCCCTTTTTAGTCTTGGATATAAAGTGCCCTTCCAAAATGATCAAAAGTGCCCCCGCGACACACCCTCCCTCCCGCCCTTCAGTAGGCGCGCGACAACACCGCTCTTGAGTACGCACGCTCAACCCACCCCCTCCCACCCGCTTTACAACACAGCTGATCAGACACCGCTCTTCAGTACGCGCACGACACTCCCCCCCCATCCCCCCTCCCACGCTCTTCAAAAAACTTATCCTGCAAATGCCCTTTGAATGGTCTCTGCACGGGCCTAGGCCCAACCATACCCTATCTTCTATTGTCCAGTTTTGGTGAGTCTGTGTGAATTGTAGCCTCAGTTTCCTGTTCTTAGCTGACAGGAGCGGCACCCGGTGTGGTCTTCTGCTGCTGTAGCCCATCCGCCTCAAAGTTGGACGTGTTTCTATCAGTTGAACCAGTCTGGCCATTCTCCTCTGACCTCTGGCATCAACAAGGCATTTGCGCCCACAGAACTGCCGCTCACTGGATATTTCCTCTTTTTCAGATCATTTCACTGTAAACCCTAGAGATGGTTGTGTGTGAAAATCCCAGTAGATCAGCAGTTTCTGAAATACTCAGATCAGCCCGTCTGGCACCAACAACCATGCCACGTTCAAAGTGACTTAAATCACACGTGTACCTAATAAAGTGGCCGGTGATTGTAAATATGATTGAAATTTTAATGGGGAAAGTAAAATATTTTCCACTGGCCATTAGAAAAAAGAAAAACCCTCAGCGTTTTGCCCTAAAAGTCTGAAATTTCACTCATGTTGCTCTTAAACCTGCAGAAACCCTGTGATTGCCATATGAAATCTCGCATATTATTTATCATTATCATGTTTAAAGATGAAGACCTAAAATAGCCATCAGTTAGAGGACAGTCTTACTAGTGAAAATCCTAGAAATGATATCATATAAATTGTATATTATTTTTTATTTACTTTATTTATTTGCTTGCTTTCTTGCTTTTTTACTTAATTGCTTGCTTTTTCATCCATTTATCTATATATTTATTTACTGATGTACTTTATTAATTTATTTACTTGCTTATTTGCTCATTTATTTACTTATTAGCTTTTTTTATCCATTTTTTATTAAGTTAATTTAATAACTTGCTTATTTACTCATTTATTTACTTATTTGCTTACTCATCCAATTATTTACTTCATTCATTTGCTTGCTTGTTTACTTGCTTTTCATCCATTTGTTTATTTATTTATTTATTTACTTTATTTATCTGCTTGCTTGCTTATATATTTATTTACTTATTTACTTGCTTTTTCATCCATTTATTTATTTATTTACTTTATTTATTTGATTGCTGATTTACTCATTTGTTTGCTTTTACATCCATTTATTTTTTTATTATTTTACTTTATTTATTTACTTGCTTATTTACTCACTTATTTACCTATTTATTTGCTTTTTCAACCATTAATTTATTTATTTAATTGCTTATTTACTTGCTTTTTCATCCATTTATTTATTTACCTATTTACTTTATTTATTAACTTGCTTATTTACTCGTTAATTTACTTTTTACATGCTTTTTTCCATTTATTTATTTAATTACTTAATTTATTTGCTTGCTTATTTACCCATTTATTTGCTTTTACATCCATTTATTTTTTTTTAATTTTATTATTTATCCACTTGCTTATTTACTCATTTATTTACTTATTTACTAGCTTTTTACATCCATTTATTTACTTTATATACTTGCTTATTTACTCATTTATTTACTTATTTACTAGCTTTTTACATCCATTTATTTACTTTATATACTTGCTTATTTACTCATTTATTTACTTATTTACTAGCTTTTTACATCCATTTATTTACTTTATATACTTGCTTATTTACTCATTTATTTACTTATTTACTAGCTTTTTACATCCATTTATTTATTTATTTACTTTATATACTTGCTTATTTACTCATTTATTTGCTTTGTAATGCATTTATTTATTTTATTTACTATATTTATTTGCTTGCTTGCTTGCTTGCTTGCTTATTTACTCATTTACTCATGTATTTGCTTTATCATCAATTTATTTAATTAATTACTTTAACTGCTTGCTTGCCTATTTACTCGTTTATTTACTTATTTATCTGCTTTTTATCCATTTATTTATATATATATTTTTACTCATTTGCTTATTTGTTGCTTTTCATCCATTTACTTATTTGATTATGTACTTTATTTATCTACTTTCTTGCTTATTTACTCATTTATTTACTTATTTATCTGCATTTTAGCCATGTATTTATATATTTATTTACGTATTTACTTTATTTATGTGCTTTCTTGCTTATTTGCTCGTTTATTTACTTGTGTATTTACTCATTTATTTGTTTTTTTCTTTTATTTACTTATGTATTTTTAATATATTAATGTATAATATATTTACGTTTATAATTTATTGAAATAATAATAAAAAAACACTTGCACTGCAAGGTTAATAATATGACATGAGCACAACGATGTTGAAAACTAAACCTCCATTGACTGCAGCTGAGGATTTTCTGAATGAGATCTGATCCGAGTTCAGACTGAATCTTCTGCTCCCTCTTGTGGTGAAGAGAAAGATCTGCGTGCACTATTCAGTGCTTCAGGATGGAAATACAGTATTTTCACTTACTAATATAGAAAACTATACTTTATTTATTTATTAAATTTTTAATTATTTGTCTGTTTATTTATTGATCTACATAATTATTTACTCATTTATTACTTTATTTCATTCATTTATTTAGTTATTCCTTTTTATTTACTTGTTTATTTACTCATCAGTTTACTTTAATTATTAGTAGTTTATGTACTTGTTTACTTAATTAATTATTTTACTTATTTATTTGATTATTTGTTTACTTGTTTGTTTATGTATTTGTTGATTGACTTATTGATTTACTTATTTAATAATTTATGTACTTATTTAGTTTTTAATTCATTTACTTTTTTATTTTAGTTACTAACCTAACTACTTTCTTTATTTGATTATTTACTTTATTCATTCATTCCTTTTCTTTTCTGCTTAGTGCCTTTATTAATCTGGGCTCACCACAGCGGAATGAACCGCCTATTTAATTTATTTGCATATTTATTTACTTTATTTACTTTAACTTAATGTATTTACTTAATCATTTATTTACTTATTTACGTTATTCTCCTGTTTATTAAGTAATTTACTTATTTATTTACTTTATATATGACCAATTTGTTTATTAATTAATTTTATTTACTTGTTTGTTTACCTATTTATTTAATATTTAAATGTATTTACTTATTTGTATATTTACTTATTTATTTACCTATTAATTAATTAAATAATTGTATTTACTTATTTGTTTATTTACTTATTTATCAATTTACTGATTTAATTATTTTCTTTGTGCTTATTTACTTATTAATTTACTTATTAATTAATGTATTTATTTACTTATTTATTTCTTTACTTATTTATTAAATTATTTATTTACTTATTTACATATTTTATACTTTATTTGCCTATATATGTTTTTATTTTATTTATTAACTATTTTATTTAAATATTTACTTATTTATTTACTTATAAATTGACTTATTTAATTATGTACTTATTTAAGTACTAATTTATTTACTTTTTATTTATGTAATTACTTGGTTATTTCCTTATTCATCCATTTGCTTATTTAATTATTTGTTTATGTACTTATTTACTTATTAATTTATTTACTTATTATATGATTAATGAATTTACTTATTTGCTTTTTTACTTGGTTATTTTATTTATCTATTTACTTTTTAAAACTTTATTTACCTATGTGTTTATTTGTTTAATTTACTTATTTACTAATTTAATACTTTATTTAATTTATTTACTTATTCAATTATTTAATTATTTACTGACTTACCTTTTTATTTGCTTATTTATTTAGTTATTTAATTATTAATTAGCTTATTAGTGTATTTACTTATTAGTTGACTTGTTTATTCATTTACTTATTGATTTACTTATTAAATATATTTTTAAATATACTTATTAATTTATTTACTTCATTAACCTGTTTATTCATTCCTTTACTTATTTTATTACTTTTATTGGTGTATCTTTGCTGCTCAGCTTAACCTGCAATCATCTTATTTTTTACCCTGCAGAGATGCATAATAATTATTTAATTTAATTTAATTTAATTTAATTTAATTTAATTTAATTTAATTTAATTTAATTTAATTTAATTTAATTTAAATTTATTTTATTTTAAT